TTCTTTGTTATAAACTATGTGAGTCAGTTCATGATTTATGGGACTTAGTTGAGTGTAGTGATTAAGAACATGGATTTTAAAACCAAACTGCTTGGTTTCAAATCCTAACATTTTGTAGTTATGTGACCTTGAACAAGTTATTTAACTTCTCTGTGCATCAGTTTCCTCAGAGGCAAAGAGGAATTAATTTTATCTAGGGTTATTAATGACAATTGAGTAAAAATACATCTTAAGGGCTTAGTACAATACTTGGAAGATAGCAAGCATGATGTTTGCCATATTATTAATTATTATTATTATTATTATTATTATTATTATTATTATTATTGTAGTTACCCACTTTTTAAAAGAGGGTTGAACAATTTCTTTGTGGCAAAAGAGCTAATTTTAGAATTGCAGAGTATAGAGACTAAAGAACAAGCCCTACTGACCCAGCTTTTGTCTTCCTCAGTCACTGGACATTTTGCTATCTTATCTGTCTTTGGTGTTTCTAAGGAACAGAGATGTGAGTAATTGTATCTAAACTGCTTTGAGAATTTTTGAGGCCAGAACTATGTCCTAGAATGAGTTAGCCTGAAAATTACCCCAGAAATCAGCCAAAAATCTGGAGTCAGCCTATCCGGGTTCAAATCCTAGTTCTGTCACTAAGTTATGGGCCCTTGGGTACGTTGCTTAACCTTCATACCTCAGTTTCCTTGTATATCAAAAGCAGACTAAATTGTAGCTTTCTCCTTGGTTTTCGTGAAGATCATATGGCACAAAGTATTTAGAACAGTGTCTGGCATAATTTAAGATCTTAAAAAACATTAGCTCCATTTCCATTTTCCTGCAAGGTGGTTACTCTGGAATGTGTTGCCTCTTTTGTCTATCAAAGTTGTGTGATTTCCCTCCAACTTATTTCTGGATTCTACTACACAAACAAAGAGGATTGTAGAAGGCAAAAGAAATGTGCCATTCATCAACGGAACACCCTACGGTGCCTTTTTCCATTGCTTCCACTAGGGGGCAGCCCAGCCTCAAAGGAAACCTGGGGAAAGGCCCTCCACACAAGCTGGGGTTCATTTACGTCCCTATTTTCTTGAAATAACTTTTGGGCGTTTGAGGATTTTCCTAACTTCCTTTCGCTAAACAATCCTATTGAGTAATAAAGGAATAAGTGAGAATGTTTTGGGCCAGGACTTTGAACCAGTTCCTTGGTTAATCGTATCTTCTTTCAAAACTCAGATTTAAATCTGCCAGATAACAATGTAAAAATACAGCCAAGGTGATGGAGCAACTTCCAGTTCTGTTGTCTTTTCCCGCATCTCCTTGCGTTTAAACCCTCATTCCTTATTTATTTATTCATTCTATATTCAACAAATAATGACCGAAAATCTATAAGCCAGGGAGCAGGAATGCAGAAGTGAAAAAGATAAGCATGGTTCCTGCTCTCTGACAGTCTGCTGGAAAAGGCAGATACTAAGTGATCATTATGCAGTTGATTCCTGTAACTACCTACCATGTGATACAACCTTGAAGTAAAACCACAGGGCTGTGTGGGCCTGGGAAAGGGAGACCCTAATGTTCTTGAGGAGCTGGTGTGCTGGAGAAAGCTTCGCTGCAGAAGACGCATTTACTCTGAGGCAAAGGAGTGGATGTTAGCTAAGGGAAGGGACACACAGGAAGAAGGTTTCACTCATTAAAGAAATACTTACAGAGTATCTGCCATGGGCTACATCCTTTTCTAGGAGTGAAGGATTAATTATGGTGCAATAAAAAAAATAATGTGATAGTGAGGGACTAGGGGTGGGGTAGCTGCCTTAGGTGGGGGTTAGGTCAGCCCTCTCTGAGAAGCTGCGACCTGGAGGAAGAGGCAGACATGGGGCAATCTGGAACACAGTGTTATGGGAAGAGTCAGCAGCACATTCAAAGGCCCTGTGGGAGGCATGACCTCGTCATGTCTGGGGAACAGTAAGAAGGCCAGTGTGCAGCTTCAGCAGAGGGAGGGAGGGGAAGTGGTAGGAAATGAGATCTGAGAGGCAGCCAAGGGTCTGATCATGTAGGATTCTGTGGGCCATGGTTAAAGTTTGGGTTTTAATTGCATGGGAGGCCACTGGGTGGTGGTGGTGGTGGCGGTGGGGTTTCAGCAGAGGAATGATGTGGTTCAGTTTAGGTTTTGACATCACCCAGGCTGCAATGGGTGCTGTAAGGGAACGAATGTGAAAGCTGGGTGTGGTGGGCAGAATAAAATCTGCAGCAAATCTCCCCATACTAATTTCTGGAATTTGTGTTAGGTTAAAGGACAAGAGGGAGTTAAGGTTGCTTATCAGCTGCCTTTAAAATAAGGAGTTTATCCTGGATTAGCTGGGTGGGCCTCTTGTAATCACAAGGATCCTTAAATGGGGAAGAGGGAGACAAAGGAGTCAGACCCACAGATGCCATGTGAGAAAGATTCCAGTAGCTATTGCTGAGTTTGAAGGTGGAAGGAGGCCAGGAGCCAAGGAATGTGGGCCACTCCTGGAGGGTGGAAAAGGCAAGGAAATGGA